TCATTCAAACTGGAACAAGCAAAGCGGAAACGATTGCCGTTCAATTGGTTTGTTAATGTTTAATAGGATGAGACGCGTGGCGTCTCGACTATACAAAAAAATATACGCGTTCAAAAAATGTTATATCTAATTTTAGAGGGTTTCCTCTTCCGTTTCCCCGGCCGACGCGACGCTCACGCCGCCGTGCGGGATAGAAGATGGAGGCGCAAGAGAGGGGATCGGGTGTACCAATCAGCGGCTATTATACGCCCCGGTGGGGAGTCCGGTAACGAATACGGCACTCAAATGTATGTTAATTGTCGAGTAACTGGAGGGTAAACTCTGGCGTAGAGGCGCTACCAGTGGCGCTGCAGTCGCAAGGCGCGTTACCAACGTGGAAATGTAAGTTTTTGTTTATTTTATTTATTCACAGTTCTAAATAATTGGAAAATTCTCAAAAATCGGATAAAAAAAAATTTCATGCATACGAGAATCGAACTCGGAGTCTTTGGATTAGTAGTCCAGGACTTCAACATCTGCGCTGTCGAAGTAATTCGCCGCGGTTTTATTTACACAACAGCTTGTATTTTATTAAAAATCCATTTTTTTTGTAAATTTTCGATAAGGATTCCCTGCACCGCCGCTGTCGCAAAGCGAAGCGCCGCGATGATAACCGGCTTGTTATATGGATATGATGAACTGCAAACGCACGTTTGCGAATAACATGAATGCCAAATTGGTCGATTTCCATGCCGGAGAGGTTGGAATTTAGTGCGCAGTCACGGAAAATGAATAAACATAAAACGTAAGGACTTGTTTCATTTATATAGAAAACGCCAGGTCTAGAAAGAATAGGTATATTCTGTGAAGAATATTTTGCTGGGCCAAGTCGAGAGCGATTGCAGCTTCAGTTTTGAGCATGAAACACATTTAAAATGTTATATTTTAGTTTAAAATTAGTAATGCTAAGACATTTTCTGGTGGAAAAACTTAGAAAACCAAGAAAAAACACCTTGGTAATTAAATTCAAGCAGTTAGTGGTTTGTTTGTTGACATTAATCTTGCTACTGACCAACAGATGGCGTCTGCAAAGATTTCAAATTGAATTTCAAGCTGTCAAAACATTTCACCGCTAAACACTCTTTTAAAAGCCAAAACTGAAGCAGTAAATAATTCCTTTCAGTTCTCTTCTCTAATCCCTATTTGAATAAACAGACAGCGCAAACTCCAGGCTCCAGGTCTAGAAATAAATTTTGCGTCAAGTCGAGCGACTGCAACTTCAGTTTCGAGCTTGAACATAAAAAATATGACATCCTCCCTAATGAGCTTGAAAAACATCTAAAATAATGTATTTTGGTTTAAAATCAGTAATTCCAACACATTTTCTGGTAGAAAAATTTGGAAGAGCCAGGTTTGCGCCAAACCGATAGTAGTTTATCTGTTGGCATTGTCAACAGATGGCGCTGGCACAGCTTTCAAATTCAATTTGGAGCTGTCAAAATTACGTATGCGTTTAAACGCTTTTCGTGCGCTTTTCACCGCTAAAAACTCTTTAGAAGCCAAAACTGAAGCTGTAATTCCTTCAAGTTCACTTCCCTAATCCTTATTTAGTCGTCCAAAGCTCAAAAGTGGTACGAACTACAAATCAACCTTGCTTTCGAAACAACAGAACTGTAAGTACAAATCTTCCCTGTTGCCTGTTTCAATCGAACCGCGCCCCCCAAATCTGTTTATACAAACACACGTACCATTATTCCGTCCAATTTCGCTTCATCGCCCTTCACGAACTCATTGTATCCTTGTAAGGGGATACATAATACCGTCTATATGTATATATACAAATTAGTAGTGTTGCTCTTCGTAAGTGGCAGGGCGATCCTTGTGTATAGGCCCAATTATCCTTTAATTTCGCTATAATTGACACGCGTTACAAATCCCGGTAACTACTTTCGGACAGATGGTCATGCAGGGGATCCTTCGGTCCGGGCTGACGATTTGTTTCGACTTGTTCGTCTCTTCGAATAGTCACTACCACTTGTATAAATGATTCGTTCGACTGGTTCATACTTTTGGTTTTATTGGTAAAAATATTGTTTCAACATAATCAACTAGTATTACGATACCTGTAACATTAAAACTAAAGCGAGGCTACTCAACCAAATCAACAACGACTAGATAAACTTATAGGTTTTTTCCTCTTCTAGGACGATTTCCAAGTCTCTTCTCATAATTGGCAGCCGTGTACGTAGGTGACGTTGTGGAATATGGCGGCGGCGGCGGAGCTGAGGAAGCTGCAGGGGGACTGGGCGCCGTACCTCACCATGCCGGACGGGGGACAGCACGGAGGCGGCTCGCTGGGGCCTTTACGCAGCGCCCCGGCGCTCAGCAGCTCCTTCTCCACGGAGGCCTGGTGCCGCAGCTGCTCCAACCGGAGCTGGTTCTGTCGCTTCCACTTCGTCCTGGAAGCAGAGAAACAGTCCCATGCCAAATCAAGGAGATGAGGTATATTAGAAGACTACGAATACGAAAATAGTGAAATGGTGTACCTTGTATTTGGAACCACGACGTGCGACGTATGAGTAGGCAAAAGGAAGGATCTATTTGCTTAAAAATTACGAATAAAGCGTAAAATTTGAATAAAACGGAATAAACAGAATGAATGTGACAGTTAACTGGGATTTGACATTTGACAGAAGCGACCATGGAACACGAACAAAAGAACAGAAGTAAACGCACCAAAGACAAAGTAACAAAACAGACGGGACACGCGTTAACAATCTGTGACGTTGTGTCTGTAGGAGGGGGAAGGACTGTAATTATCGCAAATTAAATAAAAGCAGCTCTAATTTTAATCATAAACGTGTTCTGCCATTGAAATTGTACCTTTTTTTTTTAGAAAAGCCAAGAACTGGGAGAAATGCAAATTCTTTGCAGAAACCAAAAGAAATAGACGCTCAAATTGCTTTTTTTTTACACGAAAATGCTGGTTTTTATAACGAAAACTATTCAAAACCGTCGTTATACGGGTCGTTTACCTCCTGTTTTGGTACCAAGTCTTGACTTGCGTCTCGCTGAGGTTCAGGGCGTCGGCGACGTCGCTCCGGTCCGCCACCGAGAGGTACTTCTGGCACCGGAATTTCCGCTCCAGGTAAGCCAATTGGGCGTGGGTGAAGGCGGTGCGTCGGCGACGAGGCTTCCGGCTCTTGGCACCGGCGTCCGTCTGGTTGTCCCCCGGCGCTGTCACCCCCAAGAAGCAGTCGCCGCCGACGGAGATCTCGGCGTCCGTTTCGCCGCGCTCGCCGTCGGAATCTAAACACAAAGCAGGAAATCGTAAACAAGCGCCTTAATACCTACACGGGTGACATCTATGTGTCAGTTTTTAACTGGTAAGAACGAGTTTGGCAAGTCTAAGCTAGTGAAGGAACTAATTTTAGTACTTGGTAAAAGTTGTGACTCGTGTAAAGTCGCTTCCGCTCGAGAAAAACAAAAGAAAACCGCGGTCGCCGGGGGCGCTCGTCCGTGCTCAAAGCCTCCATTCGTTATTACGCCGGAAACGGATTACTCAAAACGCATATAGAAGACAACAGGGGTCTAATTGGAGGAGCTCTCGGTGATTCCGGGCGAAAAGCGCCTTTCCCCCTTTTCCCCCTCGACGCCTTTCTCGTGAGCGCGCCTTAATTACCGCCCGCGGAGGTTTTTGTTTCGTGTCGCCGGACGGCAAAGTTGGAAAATCGAAAGGCGACTGATTTAACTATAGACAGAAGCTACTTACACAAATTGTAGGTATCTGTTTACTTATACGTTCGTGCAGCTTATATTAATAATTCTCAAATGATTTTATTGGTTTTCATCGATGTATTCGATTTTACAGCCGAGTTGAGGACAAGCTTTTCGATAAAGAACCTGATATATAAAGCGAGGGACTGTAAGTACATTTAATTTTTGCAAGTAAACATTTTTTGTGAACCAAAACCCAGGCGCCGTGCCCTAAAAACAGATCCCTCTGTCGCGCGTTGCCGCTTTATTTAATTTGTGCGGTTGCCTTTCGGTCTACGAAACGCACAGCGTCTAACTAAAATGATCTACACAGCATCGAAAATTAACGTTTTTTGTGTTCACTTACCTTCGTTATTGCAATTCGTTTGGTCCAGCACGTCGCCCAGCAGGTCCTTTATCAGGAACGACTTGTGCTCCTGCATGTTACTCGGGAAAAAAAACACGGAAACAGTCACATTTCTCGGTTAAAAAAAAGTTAAACAATCCGTGTGAATTTGCAGCCGTAATGGATACCGAGACGCGATAAACTGTGACGTGATGTGACTGAGGTGGTGATAAATGGGGCTTAAGCGGCGTAACCGCAGCGACCCCCCGTGATAATAGTCGTCCACCCTCGGATTAGGCTCCGCCTTAAGGGTTGGGAAGTTCCGCCTCTTCGGCCGCCTGTTCGACGAATGAAACTGCTGGAAACGACAAGGTAGGTAATACTAATTTTAAATTTATATAAGGATTTTTGGGAAATGTTTCCAAAAGTTCCAGTAGAGAAAAACAACCGGTTTTTAATTTTTTTCAACGAATAAACTAAAATTATTATTTTAAAATTGCATGAAGCAAGGTTAGAAATTCTGGTAATTAAACGCTTACCTGTTTTGTTTTTCCCCCATGCTAATATTAGAAGTAACATCTACTGTGCCGTTTTAACAGAAAAATACAGATGCGAGGAACAAGTTTGAGGGAAAAAACAGAAACTTTCTACACTTTTCAGTCAAATTTCGATGTAGGCAACCAACATTACACGGGTGGTGTATTCACAGTTGCATATGTACCAATTTTGGGTAATTGAACATGATTTTGGTATTTTTGGTTATGCAAAAATAGTTATTTGCTAAGTAAAATTAAAAGAAAACGAAGAGAATGTTTATAAAAGACAATTAAATAAGAAAATGTATGCATTAGAGAGTTTTAAAATAAAAAAATTGTTAAATTTTTCAAAGACTACAAGTATCATACATCTTTGTTTATATGTCAGGATGGCCGAGCGGTCTAGGCGCCAGAGCTAAACACGACCCAAGGTTAACCTTTGCCCTGCCATGTGAATCAAAAACCGAGCGCTCGGTTCCACTCAGTGCACGCGGGTTCGAATGCCGTCTCTGACATGTCTTTTTTTTCAATTTCTTTATTTCATTTTAATCTTTAAAATTCATACATTCACTTTATACACAAAAAATGCATGTAAATAAATCTAGTTTATTGTTTTACGACCTGTTGATTGAATCATTGTATTAAGCGACGTGTTTTTATGCAACCATATATACACCGAAATGAAAATACGGTTGCCTACACTTCTGTGATGGAAATAAAACTACATACTTCGTTTTTCCTAAAAAAAAAAAAACCGAATTTATTCGACTATATTGCAACTCATTCATCGAATAGAAACTCCGAAACGCTCCTATTGTAAGGCGCAGGCAGCGTCTTGTACAACTCCTTCCTGTCCAGCCATTTGTAATCCACGTCTTTTTCGGGCAGCCGCCCGTTCAAGTACCTTGCGAAATAGAAAAAAACCTGCAACAGCATCATCACCGTACCCTGTACCAGTTCATACACAAATCCATTACCTTTGCACCTACAGCACCGCCACTACCACCACCCCTTACGTCTTTCGGGTACTTGTACTTGTAAAACCCGCACGGGGCGTTGCCGTATATACGAGCTTGGATATCTGAACCGCAGTTTTCTTTCAACACGCGTTCCGCTGTCTAAAAAAAATAAAAACGGGATTAAAAACCACTAGGACCAAGAATACAGTAAGTACGTACTTGTCGCAAACTTTCACCGTCTTGCCTCAAACCTTGCGGCAACAAAAAATGCTTTTCCTTGCCGATTCTCTGTTGTACGACCAGCACCAAGTGTTTGTCCAGCTTCCTTTGCAAGGATTTCAAATCGTTTCTCCTATCAGCTTCTACAATAAAACAATTCAATACACCGGAACGGTAAAGCGTACCAAAACTAACCTGTAAGTCTATCCGCCGGCTTGAACTGGGCCAACTCCTCGACGCAAGCGTCTGCAAAGTCCTGAGCGGTCTGCTTCAAGTTTACGTCCAGGTCCTCGATAGTCTCCCCGGCTTTTAAGGACTCCAACACTTTCCTACGACGAGATACAAGCGTACAAACTAGGCTGCAAGGTGTCGGTACTTACTTTTCAGCCTCCAGTTTCATTTCGTGGTCGGATTTTAAGCTTCTCTCGTACTCTACTTCTTGTAGGTATTGTTTATACTCCTTCTCCAGGTCGGTTAACGGGGGCGTTAGCGCAGGTTTCCGTTCCACGCATATGGCTGTGAGCAGGTCCCATTTCTCTGGCTTGGAAGGCGAAGCGCTAGGCGCTAGATTTGAGGTTAGGTCACTGGAATAAAAAAGTACGATAAGTTGTTACCTTTGGACAGATTCCTGAAGTGAACGCTTGAAGTAGACGGTGTTTGTAGTATTCTTAAAGCATTTTTAATCATTTTAAAGCAAGTTATTTAGTTTGGAAAGCAAAATAGGTTAGGTAAACCATTGAAGTTGGATGGTGTTGGATGGTGCAAAGCACGGAGTCAGAATATACGTGATTATTGGCCATGGGAGTAGAAGGGGCTAGTGTAACTACTCTGAGGAAACAGTTGGAGCGCCCTCTGAAGTTGATATTCAAGACACCTATTATTGCTGGGTTTTTTAACGTTTTCCGTGCATGTAAACGCCGAAAATTCTTCTTATTCACGAACCTAGTCCTTTAAAAGGTGATTAAAACGCCGGTATTAATGACAAAATGCGTTTATTAACAACTCCTAGCAAACATCAACAATGGTTCAACAATTAACTCACAAAAATCAGATTGCGATTACAACAACTCTTACAAAATGATTATCCACGGAAATTTGAAACGATATATCGACATTAATCACAGTTACATGTATCCTACTAGGCGGGCAGACTCTTGCTTGCTAACATTAATAAGTGGTTTTTATCAGGCAATAACGGTGTAGCAGAGGGCGCTGCGTTCACGTATAATACAATAAAAAAAAAGCAAACATATCAACATTCTTATTGTAGGCACATGCTTCGATTTCGTGAACGCTGGATTTGCTCTGCTGTGTTTCTATATTAAAAAAATAACCGCTTAAGCGTTTTATAGTCGTTCCCAGGTACTTATTAGCTTTAAAGAACCTATTTAATTTTCAGGTTAGAGTAACAGAGTTGGTGTACAGTCCTGGTTTACCCTGCAAATTACGCTGCTTCGTCTCGTACTTGAACCGCAGCGGTTCAAGTACTTGCTGAAGGTATGAGTTATGAGTTTCGAACAAAGCTACAAATAAATTAGATTAGACAAGCTCTAGCTTAGTCGACGGTGCAGAAAGTGGATGGAGGTGCAAGAGATCCTAACTTTAGATTTTTAGCTACACAATTAGCAAACGCTCGTGTCTGTGACGTGATTGTCGGCCATTTTACAACAAAACCGAACGTTGTGCTCATTGTGTAGTTGACGCGTATCTACACTTTAAGCGTAAGAACAACTACTTTAGAGTACAATTTTGTTACAGCTACAAATTTCAATCGCTTGGACGTATTAACGAGTTGATTGTTCTTATATAGTGATACAGATAGTACAAGCTTAGATTGCATCAAGTTACTTTTGATTTCACCAGCGTACTAAACCTAGAAAGTACGCGGTCTCGAAGTCGAGACTACATCAAATTAGTTTAAAAACTAGAAACGCAGTTTTTAATACTGTTATAGCAGTTAAAGCAATGAAACAGGAGTTAATCTAAAAACAGAGACATCAGTTAACAAGCTAATCAGTCGGTATTCAAACTTTATAACGGTTCAACCAGTTCCATATCCTAAAAAAAATATTTAAGTACTACAAATTTAAGCTTCGCCATGGAACATTAAAACTAACAACAATAAGATTGTAGCGCGCGCATTGAGGATTTTGGCAACAGTACGACAGCCGCCATTTTCAAGGTTCATACGTCGAGTTGTGCGTTCGTACGAAGCTCTGAACTGCTATCTACGCAATTTTAACGCGCCCCGATGCCACGACCTCAAAAATGGCGTCGTATCGACAACAATCCCCCCCGTTTAGGTGCTGGCGGTGGTGCTCCTGCTCGATCCGGACGTCGTGCTTCCAGCCATGACAAATCTAGACGGGGGCTGAGGCGGCAGCCGGGGGTATTCCTCGACAGGGGGCAGCACGTTCTCGAAATAAGCGCCGGAGACGTTACCCGGCGGCGCGTAATGCGCTACAACGACTATCTTGCCGGTCCTGGAGCACGCCTTGCCCACGCCGCAGCACGTGGAGCCCACCCACACCAGCTGGGTGAAGTGGCCTGGAAAGCAAAAGGGTTTTATGCATTTGAGGCGAATTTTAAGGCGAAGTACACGTGCCTGCGTTGACGTTGATGTGCAAGCAGTCCGGTTCCTTCCCGAAGTCGTACTGCCTCACCGCCGAGTACCAGTACGTCGCCACTTCTTGACCTAAAACGAAAACTTCATGCAGCTTAGCGTAAAACAAGAAAATCGATAGAGTTAGACGTAAAATTTTGACAGAACAGCCTTGCATATGGCGGGTTTTCTTCCGAGTTTGCCAACATAACTTATTCCGCTTCTTCAATTCATTCAATTGTGTTGTTTAATAACCATCCTAGTAGTACCAAAACTTCCAAACAGTTCCGTTTTATCGTCTCCACAATAGTTTCGGGAATGCAATAAACTCGGATCCGTCCGCCGCACTGAATCGATACCATCTTGGAGTCAGTTCCGATATGTATTAAATTTCAAGGGAAAGGTGGAAAGCGTCTCTCAACCCGGGGGTTATTCATCGCAAACACACACACAGCAGGAAGGGGCGAGCAGGGTGGGTGTCGGGGTTTGATTTATTTATCCTAACCTGACACGTCCTGAACCAATCCATTAGACGGTCTGCAGAATAGATTCTGGCCGATATCCTTGTCGTTGCGGTAATAGAATTTGTTGGTGTGGGCCAGGTGGTTCGCCCACGTCTGAGCAAGGTAGCAGAGCTGGAAAAGAAAGGAACGTCGTCTAAAAATAATTATGCTGTGTTTGCAACTACATTAAAGCTGTTTGGTGGTTTTCCGGAACGGAAGTCTGATTTTTTATAATTTCAGACAACAAAGCCGGAGTTCCGGCGCTTGGAGAGTGCTAGGAAATGACGTCTGGGCGCGCGGAAGCAAGTAACAAGACGTTTATGCGGTGCTTTGTTGTACCAGTAGTTGATTTATCGTTAGAAAGTAATAAACTAAAGAAAATCTACAGCTATTCAAAGTAAATTTGGTGTTTTGCACGTTCTTAACAGGTGTTTGTATTACAGGGTTGGCAATAGTGGCGGTGTGAGCGCTAGTGCGAGTGCGCACCGCGCGTGCGGCAACACGAACAGAGCAAACATGGCGGAAAACGAAAACGTTAAAGTGTACTTGCTCGTAAAAATGCATACATTTATTACATTTTATTTAAAATTCTTTTAAATGAGAAACTACTACTATAAAAATTGTATCAGTGAGTGGCGCAAAGAATATAGCGTGTTTTGAGAACCGGTGCAAAAGTTTTAAGTGCCTGAAAACGACAGTGTAGTTAGAGGTTACTTGTGAAACGTAAAAATTTACACCGCGTTTTCTTTTGTATGAATTTGTGTCTACTCCTCAAGTCGTAAAGCATTCAAAACACCCACCTGAGCTTTCCTGCTACGAGCTTTTTAACAGTTTTTGGACTTAACAACAACGTAAGTACCTAATCTAAAACCAAACTTTTTCCAACCTCGTTTCCTTGACCGGCAACAGATCAAAGCGTTGTATTTGGTGTTATATAAAAGTAAATATAGTGTTGTGTGGTTAAAACACCCTGTACAGGTGCGGGAATGCTTAAAAAAGCCTTAAAAATTGAAATTTGTACTGTCCCAGCCTCGTTTCAAGAATCGTCCGCTTCCGCTACACGGCGCTGGGACTGCCACCCGCGAAATTTGAATTCTGAAGCTGCGTTCGGCGACAGACTAACTGTTTTAACTGAAACGGGTTGTGAATCAACTTTTTTCAGATTATTGTTTTACCTCTGAGGACATGGTGAGGGGCGGCGAGGCGTGCCTCTGCCTGTAGACGTTGTGCCA